CTGCAACAGGAAAATAACTGCGTGTCAACGACAAAAATAAGGGTTTTAGCACATTCTTAAAACTTAAAATATGCTGAAACATAAATTTGTAATATACATGATGTTTAACAGTGATAAGTTACGGGTACTTAAGTGTGGTGGAAACGAGGAAATTAAACAAAATACAGGACACACTCACACCTACTCATACAAGGAAAACAACATGTAAAAGATCTGGGAATTATGATATCTGACGACCGGACATTTCATGAATATAACATAGCAAATATGGCAGCGGCCAGGACAATGATAGGATGGATTATGAGAACGTTCACATCCCGAGACCCACAGTAATGGTAATACTATTGATATCACTGGTGCTGTCCCGTCTTGAGTATTGCTCGGTACTCACTTCCCCCTTCACAGCAGTTGAGATCTCTGAATTAGAGGGAATACAGAGAACATATACGGCACGCATAGACACCATAAAACATATAAATTATTGGGATCGTCTCAAAGCTCTCAAAATGTACTCTTTGGAAAGGAGACGAGAGAGGTATCAAATATATACATGGAAGATACTGGAGGGCCAGGTCCCAAATGTGCACAGTAGAATAACAACATACTAGAGAGAGAGATACGGAAGGAAATGCAGAATAGAACCAGTGAGGAATAGAGGTGCCATAGACACAATCAGAGAACACTGTCTGAACATCAGAGGTCCACAGTTGTTCAGTACTCTCCCAGCAAGCATTAGAAGCGACATCTCCAGGGCACAAAGCCTGGGTAGGTTGATACGAGGGAGAAGCTGTCACCCATGCAGCAGGCCCCCGCCCCTCCAACTCTCCACGGCGCCGAAAGTCTCCAATAGAACGGCAAACACCAATACGATTGGTTCCAGCGCCGTCGCTGGAACTGTCAGAACAAGAACGTATATATATATATATATATAGATAGATATATATATATATATATATATATATATATATATATATATATATATATATATATATATATATATATATATATATATATATATATATATATTGAGTATGTAGATCTGAATATATATGTGAATATACTCAAGTAGCACCCTCTCGGGGAAGTGGCACTTGAGTATTGTGGGTGATCAGTTGCCTGGTTACCTTGAGGTTACCTTGAGGTGCTTCCGGGGCTTAGCGTCCCCGCGGCCCGGTCGTCGACCAGGCCTCCTGGTTGCCGGACTGATCAACCAGGCTGTTGGACGCGGCTGCTCGCAGCCTGACGTACGAGTCACAGCCTGGTTGATCAGGTATCCCTTGGAGGTGCTTATCCAGTTCTCTCTTGAACACTGTGAGGGGTCGGCCAGTTATGCCCCTTATGTGTAGTGGTGGTTAGAGCAACGGGCTACCGCTCTGGTGGTCGCTGGTTCGAGGCTCCCATTGCCCGAGTGCATGAGATGTTAAGAATATATACTTACAAAATGTTTATAAGTCTTTCCAGCTCTTGCCACCTTTCCACCATCGCCCATCTAGGTGGCGTATGTGTCGCGTCCTCTCCTTACCTCGTTCGACACCCCAAATGCACCCCCTACCCCCACTCACCAGGTCCCCCGCCCCTCCTGCCCCAGCAAACATATTGCCCCCACAAACGAGGTTCTAATCTGATCATCGTGGTTGGTTTAGGGTTTAATGTAGCAGGTTTGGGACCTAATGGAGTGTATCAGGAAGCGCCAATAGCAGAGGTGCCTCCTTGTGGAGGACGCTACGGGGCTGGGCAAGAACGGCATAAGGAACACACGAGACTATCATTCACCATGGGGCATACCACCCCCCGTTCCCCCCTCTAATCACCCCTTCTCCCCCCCCCCTCTCTCTACCTCTCCCCCGTCCCTCTCTCTCTACCTCTCCCCCTCCCTCTCTCTCTCTACCTCTCCCCCTCCCTCTCTCTCTCTACCTCTCCCCCCTCCCTCTCTCTCTCTCTCTACCTCTCCCCCCTCCCTCTCTCTCTACCTCTCCCTCTTCCCTCTCTCTCTACCTCTCCCCCTCCCTCTCTCTCTCTACCTCTCCCCCCTCCCTCTCTCTCTCTACCTCTCCCCCTCCCTCTCTCTCTCTACCTCTCCCCCCTCTCTCTCTCTCTACCTCTCCCCCTCCCTCTCTCTCTCTACCTCTCCCCCCTCCCTCTCTCTCTCTCTACCTCTCCCCCCTCCCTCTCTCTCTACCTCTCCCTTTCCCTCTCTCTCTCTACCTCTCCCCCCTCTCCCTCCCTCTCTCTCTCTCTACCTCTCCCCCTCCCTCTCTCTCTACCTCTCCCCCTCCCCTCTCTCTCTCTACCTCTCCCCCTCCCTCTCTCTCTACCTCTCCCCCTCCCCTCTCTCTCTCTCTACCTCTCCCCCCTCCCTCTCTCTCTACCTCTCCCCCCTCTCTCTCTCTCTACCTCTCCCCCTCCCTCTCTCTCTCTACCTCTCCCCCCTCCCTCTCTCTCTCTACCTCTCCCCCCTCCCTCTCTCTCTACCTCTCCCTTTCCCTCTCTCTCTCTACCTCTCCCCCCTCTCCCTCCCTCTCTCTCTCTCTACCTCTCCCCCTCCCTCTCTCTCTACCTCTCCCCCTCCCCTCTCTCTCTCTACCTCTCCCCCTCCCTCTCTCTCTACCTCTCCCCCTCCCCTCTCTCTCTCTACCTCTCCCCCTCCCCTCTCTCTACCTCTCCCCCCTCCCTCTCTCTCTCTCTGCCTCTTCCCGCTCTCTCTGCCTACACCGCCCCACGGGTGCAGCAGGAAGTGCAGGTGTCCTGACAACGGGTGAGGCCTCTACTCTCCAGCTCGCCCTATTTGCTTCACGTCTGTCACTGACATGTGTACAAGTCTTTAAACTTGACCCATTAACTGTAGGTGATTCCCATCCTTAAATACCCTCAACTCTTTTTTACGACACAGCTGAAACATGTTCGTGTCTGGAGTGCTAGATATAGATACAACAAAATTATCAATGATGGTAACAAGAGTTCATTTCATGTGGCTCTGATCTCATGTTGGCCTCATAATGCATGATAAGAGCCGATGAGTTAGCTAAAGAATCTGCCTTCAATGGAGTTGAGTATAACCTTGAATTGCCTATAATCAGTCTGGGAGCGATTGTACACCAAGAACGTCAACAAAATCATGTACATGTGAGGCAAATCGACACTCAATAATTTTCCCTGTCATCATACTATCATGCAAGAGGAGCCACACATCTGTCGATCAGCCAATACCATCAGCAGACTCCTAGATGTAACTACATCTTGGAGTCTGAGTTACAACATCCAATCCTGAGTTACTCCATCCAATCCTGAGTTACTCCATCCAATCCTGAGTTACTCCATCCAATCCTGAGTTACTCCATCCAATCCTGAGTTACTCCATCTAGGTCCCTGAGTCTCTGCTTAGATTCGGGTCTAAATATCTCTGGGAATTTTCACTACCTGCTGAAGTAGACCTGACCAAATGTAAACTGTGTCAACCAACTTATTCGCACACCCTCCGTCACTATGTGAAGGAGTTTCCTACCTGCACGCTTGGGACACAATGGAACATTTTGAAGGTGAAATATCCCGCCTTAGAACAGTAGAACTGAATAGACTGAGACGCTTGTGTGATGTTAGACAGTAAGTCATTACCAAAAGAAGTGACGATTGGAACAAACTATTGAGAAAGTAATTGAGAGACATGCGGAGTACATGTCAAGAGAAGGAAAAGTTGGAGGAAAGTAATGTGAGATGATGAGGAAATGTTGAGTGAATGAGTAATGTGAAGGTGAGGAGAAACCCGCAAGGCCGGACATGATGAGTGTGTGAGGGAACATGAGTATGAATACCTCACGACATGCGGCTGGGTAAGTGATTATAATGAGTAAATATATTATATAAATGAGGCAGAGTGCCTCACAGTGAGACACTCTGCCTCACAGTGAGACACTCTGCCTCACAGTGAGACACTCTGCCTCACAGTGAGACACTCTGCCTCACAGTGAGACACTCTGCCTCACTGTGAGACACTCTGTCTCACACTGAGACACTCAGCCTCACAGTGAGACACTCTGCCTCACAGTGAGACACTCTGCCTCACAGTGAGACACTCTGCCTCACACTGAGACACTCTGCCTCACAGTGAGACACTCTGCCTCACTGTGAGACACTCTGCCTCACTGTGAGACACTCTGCCTCACTGTGAGACACTCTGCCTCACTGTGAGACACTCTGCCTCACAGTGAGGTACTCTGCCTCACAGTGAGGCACTCTGCCTCACAGTGAGGCACTCTGCCTCATTAATGTAGACAGAGAAAGTTAAAGGTTTATTAACTGACAATCATTCACAAATATTACTGGATCATTCATGATAACATTCACATTATACAGCGTCTGTCTGGGACAGACAGACACCACCACACTCCAACAGTCACTCACACCAGCACTCACCAACAGTCACTCACACCACCACACTCCAACAGTCACTCACACCCGCATTCACCAACAGTCACTCCCCCCCCCCCCCACCACTTCCACTCTCCCAAAACACTCCCCACCCCCCCCACCCCCACCACACCCACTCACACTAGGACTATTCTTGCTCTCTCTCTCTTGACAAGGGCAAAATGGCAGGTGGACGCAACAGGGACACAGGGAACAGCCAGAGTGACCAAACGAGGGACATGTTAAACCAAGTTCTGGAGGAATTCAGGAAGGAGATGCAGGAAATGAGGATTACAATTAACAACCTACAAAGTGAGCTGACATCAGCAAGGGAGGAGATCAAATCCCTCACAGAGAAAAATAAAGAGACCGAGCATCAGATTATCATCCAAAGGGAAGGTGGGAATGTTACATTGGAAGGAAATGCCTCTGTACCTGAAACATTTGCGGACATACTGAAAAAGAGCTCAGAAGCTATGGACACAGTGAGGGAGGTAGCCATGCAAGCAGCCACCTCACAGGAAGCAGCAAGGTGCATCACTCAGCTGCTGGAGAGAAAAAGATCAGTGGTAGTCGTAGGCATCAAAGAACAGGAA